ATTGCAGTCTCGCAGCCCTATGATGGGCCCGGCCGAGGAGGGCAAAGTGTTGGAGGAAGTTTTGAAGTTGATGAAATTGGGCACAATGCATGAGGTAGACCATGAACCTTATGTTATTCTAGCCTTCGGTGTGCCCAAGAAAAATGGCACAACCCTGCTTGTCTTGAATTTCAGAAAATTCAATTCTTGCGTCTAGCACCAGCCATTCCCTCCCGTGCACCGTGAGTTGTCGCTCGCTTCTTTGCGACCATTTTGCATTGGCTCTTTATTAGATCTTCCCAATACCTATCTTCATGTATGGCTGTCTCCCAAGTTGTGGAAGGCTATGGGTTTACCCGTAGCAAGAAGGTTCTTTAAATATATGCGTTTGCCCTTTAGCTATTCCAACAACTCACATGAGCTTTTGTGGGCATTGTGGCCTACTGTTCGGGGGGTTTCGCGATGCTTACACTCTCAGATCATGTTTTATATGGATAATATTCTTTAACTTTCTCCGTTTGAGCCCTAACACCAGTGGGGCTTGGAGATTTTATTGGAGGAGTTACGGAGGGGTGGGTGGTATGTCAATTGAGATAAGTGCTAATTTTATAGAGACAACTTTGAGTATCTGGGGGCTTCCTTAACTTCTCACGGGTTGGAGCCTACTGACTTTGTCTTAACTCAGTTTGAGCAGGCACCTATGCCTACGACTCTGTCTGGTTAGTGCTAGAGGTGGCCACCCGGATCCGTTAATAGCGGACAGAGGTTAATTTCCGTTAATTTTCCGTTAATTAACGGAAAATAACGAAAAAAGACAAAAATAAACCAAAAATTAACGGATTTTTGGATTTTTTGGGGATTTTTGGGTTTTATTCATACTTATAGTTTATGGAATTCGCTATTGGAGAGTATGTTTGTATTTTATTTCAACCTATGCATACTAGATTTTCAACTAGCCGCAGTTGTTGTGATTTTTTGGGGTTTTTTTCGATTTTTTTGGATTTTTTTCGTTTTTTCTGAAATTTTCTCCCTTTTTCTTTAATGGAATTTAACGGACAGCTGATAAAAATTAACGAACCGGACTTAACGGACCGGATGGCATCTTTGAGTGGCCACCTCTAGTTGGTGCAAGATCCATGGTTGGTTGAACCATTCTGCTCGTTTTACTTGGTGAGGGCATTTGGTGTTAGTAGCGCTGAGGGAGGTGCAAGCACACCCTGCATTAGACCGATGGTGGTATTTTCTTTCTTTGTTGCATCGCCATTTTGTTCGGTGTACTATCCCCTCCTTCACTTCTGCCGGTTTCTTTACCGTGATTACGGATGCGAGTAATTTTGGTTAGGGTGTGGTGTTACTCTGGGGTTGCAAAATTGCTTGTTGTGCATATGGTCTATGGTCTACGGGGTTTCTCCACCATGTTAGCAATGTTTTGGAGTTAGAGGCACTTTGCAAAGCACTTCGGACTTTTCGGCCATGGATTTTTGGTGCCCCAGTACATACTGTCATAGACAACCAGGTCGTTGTGAGTTTCAATAATCCGGCAAATCTCAGTGATTTCTTGAAGCGCCGTTTGGACCTTCTCTCTTGGTACTCTACTCACATTTCATTTTGCCTAGGGCCATTTAATTATTTAGTAGATTTCTTATCTAGACAGGGGGCTTGGATTGAGGTACCTTCATATCTTCATGCAATGGAAGAACAATGTGCCGTAGTTATTTCTCAGGTACAATGGAATTAGGCCCATGCCAGGCACTTTGGAGTAAAGAAAACATATTTTCGTTTTTGCCAAATGGGTCTGCGTCCAATATGGCAATGGGTGATGGATAAGGTGCAGTCATATATGGAGTAGAGGTGGCCACCCGGATCCATTAATAGCGGACAGAGGTTAATTTCCGTTAATTTTCCGTTATTTAATGGCAAATAACAAAAAAATACAAAAAATAACCAAAAATTAGCGGATTTTTGGATTTTTTGGGGATTTTTGGGTTTTAGTCATACTTATAGTTTATGGAATTCGCTATTAGAGAGTATGTTTGTATTTTATTTCAACCTATGCATACTAGATTTTAAACTAGCCGCAGTTGTTGTGATTTTTTGGGTTTTTTTTATCTTTTTGGATTTTTTTTCCTTTTTTCTGAATTTTTCTCCCTTTTTCTTTAACGAAATTTAACGGACAGCTGATAAAAATTAACGAACCGGATTTAATGGACCGGATGGCACCCTTGAATGGCCACCTCTAGTATGAAGTGCCAGTTGTTCCATCGACTACAACCGTCCAACCCATTTGGCGATTGGCGAGTGCTAGACCGGCCAGGACAAGTCATTGGTTTGGATTTTATATACCCCTTCCCTGAGATGAAATTAGGAAAAAAGCGATTTGTTCTTGTCATTGTGGACATGTTGACTAGACGGGCTGGGGCGAGGGCAACAACAGGAGCGGGAGGAGCAGACATTGTATGGGGATTAAAGAAGTGAATAGAGATATGGGGAGTGCCTTCTGTCTTGTGTTCAGATGTTTGCAAGGCTACACAATCCAAAGAGTTGCAAAGATAGTGTGCTCAGGAGGGAGTGACACAAGAGTATTCTCCTCCCTATCAGCGTGCCTCTATTGGATTTGTGGAGTAGTTTAACCATACTCTGTTGAACCGTTTGTGGCGGATGTGGGCAGAGGAGCCCAAGTAATTTGCAAGGATAGTCGAGCGAGTGGTGGACATCTATAACAGTACACCTCTCTCTTCGGTGGAAGAAAGCAAAGAGACACCTAATTCTTTTGTGTTCAGATTACCAAATCAATTGTGGAATGTTCATAGATTGCATGGTATCAATTGCGAGAATACGCGCACCGGCAGCGAGCACAGGCTATCACGCACATTAGCCTATTGTGGGGGATGCCCTACTACTGGCCTCTTGGTGTGGGGAACGCCCTGCCCAAGGTATGGTGACGTATCCCCAACCAGCTTACAAATACTATACGATATGGGAGTAGGTTGGGGTGGTCCCGCCTAGGTCCCTGTAAGGACTTAGGTGCCTGGAGAGGCGGGTCCGTTGCTCAAAGAGGGCAGGGGCCCCACACCAAGAATCCTCACGTACCACAGGCAAACCATAGAATGAGGGGACGACACATCCAGCAGACGTTCAGAGCAAGAGACCGAGTGTGGCTGTGGAACACAAAGGTTGACACGTTGAAGGACAAGCTCGAGCCGTGGTGGGAAGTTCGAGGGCCAGAGGGGAAGCTTTGGGTGAGACACACGGATATGATTCAGCCGTATCGAGATAAAGTTTAAAGGGATGATGTTCTAGGTCATGTTAAATTTAGCGCAAGGAAGCGTGTGAGGATGGGAGAATACATAAGTAATTATGTAGAGTATGGTGTTTTGATGGTGAATTCAATAAGGTGTTAAATGTGGTGAAATTGGGAATGATTGGGTGAAACATGGAGGAGACATGCTTGCAATGAACACTACATAACTGACACAATCATTTTGTAATCCATCTGGTTGCAGCTTGCTCCCCGTGCTTGGGGGAGCGACTGTGTGCGAGCGTACGCACGAATGCAGATAGCGTAATAATTATGATTGCATTGGCATCAAAATTAGCATCAAGAAGATAGTGTTTTCTGCTAGTGTTGACTCGACACTGTTGAGGTCAACACAAAAATTCCCTATTTGCTCCTAGTACAAAGAACATTGCCCCCAAACATACATTGTCCATTCAATATTTGCCCTGCTAGCATGTCATATACTCATCAAATGCACTGGACGTTCTCCCCAACACACATTGTGCCTGACAATGATCCGTGGATCCGGTTCAAACAACCGATGTAACATGAGTGCATGAAGCTCAACCGTCCCTAGCTCCAGTACCTAAGCAGCTACAATGACACTACATGCGACCGCGTTGTCCACGAGCAGCCCAAGCAAGATGCGGGGAAGTTTGCACGGGGCTGTGGGCCTGTTGTGAGCAGTTTGATTTCGACGCCAATCATACAGCAGCTGCCTGCGAGCACACAAGTTGCAGCAAGGAGAGTGCTTCCGGCGTTGAACAACAGCTTTTTCGGATAGAGGCCATGTAAGCGACGCTTTTTTTCAATCGAAGCGGCAGCGTCAGGCGTCACCCCGGCAAAGCGCCTCCAGTGACAGGCGTGCGTCAGCACCACCCCAAGAACATATCTCCACGCGCCCTTACACCGCCTGGAGAGATATCCCGGTCAGCGGGCGGAAGGACAAAAGCCCATCGCGTGCGCCTTGACCGAGGTCGCGGACAAGGGAGACGGCCATAAAGTTCGACAGCGCACGCTCCAGGGTGTTCATTGCCGAGAGCACCCCCCTCACGCCCGCGATTACTGTGTGATGACGGTGGCAGCCCACCCAAAGTATCCCACCCAGCTGGCGGAGATGCTGGCATATCCCGCCAACCCCGGCGTCCCGTCAATACCCCCTCAGCCTTTCAGCTCCAAAAGGCCGGACAGCCCGTCCACCACCTAAGCCCAGACACTACTAAAGGGCCCCAACCGCCCCGCTGGGCGGACCAAAAGGGCCCCACTGGTGCGCAAAATCTACGCCGCTGACGTGGTGGATTCGGGCCTCCCCCGCCCCACCGTGGTCGCCTCTCTGTGGCCCGATTGCTGACGTGCGGGGCGGGCGCGTCCACAACTTAGGCGCGCCCATGGCCTGCCGAAAGACGAGGCCATATTCGGTCGGGGGGGTAAAAGAGACCATCAGGCTGCGGCTGCACGCACAGCGCGAGGAAGCAGTGGCCGGGCGGTGCGCGGCCGCGGAATGCCACAGCGCGTGCGAGAGCAAGAGGGCCAGTCGCTGACATCGCTCCGCTGCTTTTGATCACGGCCGGGGTTGAGTTGTTTTGGCAAGGGACGAACCAGGGTTCGCACGGGTTGTGTGTTTCCCGTGTGAGAGGCAGCGCCTCGGGTAGGCCGAGGCGCAAGGAGGGCCTGGGAGTCGCTTGGCGCCAATCCGCGCCCAAGCCAAAGGTCGGATCTCGATCGCAGCAGGAGGGTGGTGGAGATGTCCGGGTTCTGGAACGTGCCGGGCGGGATGCAGGTCCCTGACGGGGGCGCAGCCCAAGAGCCGCGCACCCCCCGCGTTTCATTCGACGACCTGCCCCCCGGCTGGTCGCCGAGGCCGTTGCGGCGCGCCTCGGTGTCCCTGGACGGCTCGCCCGTCTTCTGCGGCACGCCGCGGTCGTCCTTCCGCCGCGGGCTGAGATCCCCGCGAGTGGACGCCAGCCCGCGCCTGGCGCCCTCGCCGCGCATCGACAGGGACCAGCCCCGGCCGGCGGAGGGGGACCTCCCCGTGGCGGAGGAGGCCGATCGGCTGGTGAGCATCCCGCTGCACCGCATCGCAGAGGTGCCACGGGCGCCCACGGACGCCGAGGGCCAGATCCTGCTGAGGACCACCTCGGCGCCTGCGCGGGCGTTCGCCCCGCCGAGGTACAGGTCGGAGTCGCTGGAAGGGAACATTATCCCGGCGCGGCCAATGTCGCCCGTGGGTGAGGCGCCCAAGCCGCTGGAGGCGTTTTCGGACTTGTTCGAGGTGCACGGGGAGCTGGGGGCGGGCACTTACGGCCGCGTGTTCAAGGCCACGGAGCGGGCCAGCGGGCGGCAGGTGGCGGTGAAGACGATCGACATGGCGGGGGAGGCGTGCAACCCGCGACGGGTGCAGCTGGAGGTGGCGATGCTGAAGCGGCTGGCGGACAACAAGCTGGTGGCGCGGTTCCACGGCGCGATGGAGGAGGGCCGCGACCTGCACATCGTCATGGAGCTCTGCAGTGGTGGCGACCTGCGGGACTTCGTTGCGGTGAGAGGCGTCGCGCGAGCTCGGTCGGTGTTCTATTTTGAGATATTTTTGGTCGTGGGACGCGGGGTGGGCTGGGGGAGCGCGCTACCTGTCCCTGGCGTGCCGTGGCCTGCGCTTTGCCGCCGAGGCTGCGGGGCCGTCGAAGTTGGGCCGCTTTTTGGCGTGCACCTCGTCTTGACTTGCGTGATCAGTTGCGCAAATGGGCGGGGACCGGTACTTTTGGTGGCGGGGGATGGGTGGTGGGATGGGTTGTGATCCTTGGTGCCACGTCGCTGCGATTGCGCAGTCCCGCGCTGCGTGTTGGACTGGGCCCCTTTTGCGCGCGGGAGCGTGAACGATCGGATTCCCATGGATCGTCGACGCCCAAGCTGCGGCATGGCGAGCAGGCGGTTTGAGATTCCCCCTGGTGCTCGACCGCTCAATGCCGCCACTTCTGTGGTCAGGGCGGCTGTGCAATAGAGGATACCTGCCATACGCATGTGCCCATGCGAAGCCTAACGGGCACTTTAGAGCAGTCACCATGAGTCCTGTTCCATGTTCTGTGTTGCGAAGGCTTTCAATTTCAATGGAGGGCTGCTGATGTGTGCTGGTATCAGGCAAGCGGAAATGCTGTATCCGCTGCACGGGTCGGATTGGCTCAAGATCCGTATGTGATATGGTCGTGGTGGGCGTCTGGGGGACTCACAAGACGTTATGTTGCTCTTGCTGTGCAGGAGAACGGCCCTCTCAGCGAGTCTCAGGCTGCCATGGTGATGTACCAAGTGTTGCTTGTTATCCGCGAGCTGCATGAGGCGAACATCGTGCATGGCGACGTGAAGGCGGCCAACTTTGTGATCGCCAACAAACTCAGCCACCAGCTTTTTAAGAAGGGGATGGGCTTCCTACCACGGGGATGGCTAAAGGCCGTGGACTTTGGCTGCAGCCAGCACACAGGCAAGGGAAGAATCCAGCATAAGATCGGCACACCTACCCACTGGGCTCCTGAGGTGTTTGGCCAGGTAAGCACTGCATCGTTACCTGAAGTCGTGCCCCTTGATGGCCCTACGCTGTTTTATATCGCGACCTGCTGCGAGTAGGATTGTGCATGCGATGCGCAGTACCTGAGCAAATGGTGCATCAGCAGAAATCAGCTTGTTGAATCTGATTGCCAAACACATAGATGGGCACAAACTGGACTAGAATACAGTGCCTTGGGGCTGTGTAGCGCGTTGCTGACATTTACCTGCAGTTTTTGGGTCATGGCCCCCTTTGGAGTCATGAATAGGCCCTGTTGTGCTTGGCGACTTTGGCATGCAAGTTTGTTGTCGCTGTTTCCTGCCACCGAGGGCAATACGAGCCCTCCTCCCATGAATCGCATCTGTTGGCCTAATTGACCACTGTCATGTTGTAATTCTGGTCTCTTTGGTGGTTGTCGCGCCTTCAAAGCCCAAAACAAGCTGCTAAACTTAGGACAGCTCAGCAGTTTGCAGTGTTAGTGCTTGAATTCATCCGTTTGGTGAAGGTCCTGGCATCATCTGGTGCAGTCAGTGAGGTTCCCGTTTTTTGCCGACAGACGTACCACCTGGAGGCGGATCTCTGGAGCACTGGAGTGATGGTCTTCGAGCTGCTGGCTGGTCGTCTGCCGTTCTGTACCAACAAGGAGCACCAGAGGATGCGCACCGAGCGGGACATCCTGAAAGCCCTGATGTTCAAGGAGCCTGACTTCGGCTGCGATGAGCTGAAAGGACTCAGCCCGGAGTGCCTTGACTTCATGAAGCGCCTGCTGACTAAGAACCATGACAGCAGGATGACTGTGCATCAGGCTCTGGACCACAAATGGATGAGGGACCACTCTCGCGCACACAAGGGCGCCAGGAAAGAAGTGGTTGAGAGCCTGTTGAGGCGACGAAGCTGGAGTGTGTCCGCTGCCTGCTGAAGGTTGCATCTCTTTCTTTTTTATGGTGCTTCTGGGCAGCAGGATGTCGCGAGCTGCCCCGAATTGCCTGCCTGCTGAATGTGTGACTGCTTCTTCTTTTATAGTGATTTGCCCAGGCGATCAAGCGCTGATCGCTGCCCATGAAAGAAAGAAGTCGATGCTGTGCTATAGACTGGGCGCACATCTCAGATTCATTATTGTTCCCTGAGTGTAGAGGGGGATACAGATGTGCTCCGATTTGATTCCTTTTTGTTTGGGAGGTGCGTGGGGGCACCTGGTTGTTCCAGTGCTGCTGCGGCACTGTGATGTTACTGAAAGTGAGGCTGAAGCAACTTCCGCTTCGGATCTTGGGGCCTCCCAAGTGACGTCAGTGTATGGGACGATGTGACGAGAAGATATATTACAAGTGTGCCAAGATGAGACTGTCAGTATTGCTAGTGCATTGGGTGCGGATGGGGAGGTGTGTTGATGCAGCTGGGTGTGGGCTGTGTGTCCTGCCGACTGCCTAGGGTGGAGTTTGAGGCGTTGGTTGCCTCGAGTTCATGCAGCGGGTTGGCATTGCGGCCAGAACTGGGTAAAATGGCACCAGAATCTCGATCGGTGTGCCACGAACGTGTCTTTTGCATATCGCAGACCATGTGTGTAGCACAGTAAAACAGCCTAGTATTCTGCTCCAGATTTTTCATTATCGATTGTTGAAGCAAGCTGCAGGGTGGTACAGGGGCCCACAGGCGGTTGGCCGCTTCATGAGCGAGCTTGCTGGCTCATCCTGCAGTCCCGTAAGAAGCCAGATGCGCGTTGCTTTAGAGGCGATGGAATAGTGTGGGCGGCGATCGGCGACGAATGACCCGCAAAATGTACGGTTCGTGATGTGTGGTGTGGTGTTTTCATTTGCTTGATTGGCATTGCGTTTGGAGGACAATTTCTTGTGGGCACCCAAGAATGGATGTACCTGAACAGCACAGATGGACTCGTGTAACTATCACTGCAATCTGGGTGCCCGTGACAGGTCTGCCCCTTGTGCGCTTTGCTGCTTGCTGCGTGGAGCTGCACTTGCGGCTGTCTGGCTGTGCATGGCCCGCAAGACCCTTGTTTCTGGTGACTGGAGGCGGTCGGCCACTGTGCGTTAAAGCGACACTGCCAAGGATGTGTGTCAATCGCCGACATTGCTGGGCAGGGTGCTGTTGCAACTAGGAACTGATTGAGTATTGGTAACAATGTTGTTAAAGTACGTGCCCCTTAGTGATCGCCCCGAAGGACCCATAGATCACAGGCTGAACTTAATCTTTGCTCCATTAAAACTCGCATTGCTTTGAGAGTTCGAGATCACCATATTGAACTGAACAAATAACCCATTGCTTAAATTGTTGATCAATCATAATCAACATCGTCAAGAAATCAATCTTGATTGAGCAACATCACTTCACTTTCAAATGCTCAGTCCACATGCATCACCCTTTCAACCCAACATATCCAACCATCACACATGACTTGAGAAACCCACACAACACTTGCTACCACTTTTCCACCTCTTGCCAAATGCAATGTTGCCCTTTGCACCACACCTTGCTCTGAATCTATAGATCCATCATCCGGCAATTCAATTCTTGATCCCCTTGATCCTCCTTATCCACACTGGATCACTTCAGAATACTCTCCAAATCCGCCAGATGAATCTCCACCCTCGCTGGAACACATTTGCTCATGGGGCCTCAGTCCAAATTCGGACTCCTTCTTGGTGCTCCAGTACTTAAGGTCTTCTAGGAGGAGGCCCTATTGGGCCCCCGGGCCCAAGAACGAAGAGGTGCGGGCGGTTGGCACTATTGTCAAATGGACCAGCGGGCCCCTCCTTTTATCCTCCGCCTCTGCCCCATAACACCACTCCCTAACACTATCACAACATCCCTTACACCACAATACCCTATGTCTTATCCCATAGAACTTTCCCTTACACCATTTCCTTCTAAATACACTTCCTATTGAACTACCCTGTTCCAACGCCCTACCACACTGCGAACTCACATATTGCACCTATAACATTCCCCCTTTCCGTCAGAATCCACCACACTCGCCAGAATTCACCATATGCATTTCCTAGTGACAATATCCCATTATGCCATCACCATTTTCCTTTATCCCATGCACAGCACCAGCCACCGGCATACTTTACACTCTATTGCACTTTCCACACAACTCTCACGGCGCCCACAGCATCCCACAGCCCTCACACACGCTGCCAAGGGTGGGAGGACCGTGACACGCTCAACATCACCTATCACACTATTGCCACCACCCTTATGTAATGCACATGACACACCGCGCCCAACGACCAGTGCCACCAAGTTCACACCTATGTTACAGCGTGTGTGAGCCCATGACATGCCGCATTCACCTATGTTGATAAAAATAGATGATTGATCATTATCCTAAATGATTCAAATGAGTTTAATGCCTTAAATGATTGTCATTTAACCATAGCATATCCAAATTCATCAGAATCGCGCAAACAATTCAATGATCATGTTTTCACCGCCCAATTCATTCATCTAAGCCATCTAACTCATTAAAACTTTTGTCAAATCATCTTAAACATCAATTGATCCTTTGTGTTGTTGTGCACACCCTAAGTTTTGCCTCAATGGGGAGCTAGTCACCGTATGCATCATATTGTTTTTTTTTCACTTGTGCAGCAATGCCAATTTTTTGTCCACATCATCCACACATTAGTCGCCATGGTGACTATACCATAATTTAACAATGTTAAAGTTCCTTAGCCATCCCGGTTCGAGATCCCGCTCGTCGCAATCGAATGCGCGCAGCGATGGGCCACAACCCAGCACGAGTTAAACCTTTTTGGTTCGACCTCTGTGGCAACGTTAGTGCACGCAGTGCTCAGAAGCACTCGCCATGCATGGTCGGACAAGCAGCCAAGACTCAACTTGTCTTACAACCAAACCAAGGGAAGCCACGAACAACTCTTGAGTTATATTTCTGCAATACTGGTCTCCTTCAAAACCCCCCGTGTTCCCCACACGACAATACGTTACATTCACACAGTTTGGTGTCCATCACCTCACTAATACAAGACCCGTTCGGCGACCCACTTGAAATGTGCCCTCGCTTTGCATAGTACTTAATGCCACTCTGATGGTGACTCAACCCAGCGTCAGCTCCCCTTTCCTCGTACTCAACTCCCTCTCCATCCCACAGCTAACCGAACTCACTCTATTCGGGTGGGCGGGGCGGGTGCGAAACAAGATAAGGGGGCCGCCAAGGGTCGTGCCTAAAATAGCACTCCCACTTGCCGCGAAACTCCCCGCCAAACCCAAGGGCCAACTTGACCAGTCCCCTTGGCTGCGCCCCAGGTACAAGGTTCAACCCAAGCTCCCTTGGATACGTCGGGTAGCACTGACCCCGAGTACAGGGGTGACAGAAACCGGCTTATGGATGGCCCAAACTGTCCAAAAGGCAGAACGGCCCGACCTGGCCGTTGCGCGCCCTCCCAATCGTCGCCCTTCGCAGAAACCCATTAACAGGATGGTTAATTCCATTTCTGCAATACCGATCTCCTTAACCCCCCCGTGTTCCCCACACGGCAATACATTACATTCACACAGTTTGGTGTCCATCACCTCACTAATACAAGACCCTTTCGGCGACCCACTTGAAATCTGCCCCATCACACTGGAGCACGGTGCAGCTCCTCAGGAGTGAAGGCGTGGTCATGCCTTAGTCACCCGCGGGCGGATGACGCCCCTCCGGGGCAGAAGATGTGCCCGTACTACGCGTGCAAGTCGCGGGCAGTAATTGTCATCCAGCCAAACAAACGAAGTCCCATTCGGACGGCAGCCGGTACACATCAATGTACTTCCGCATGACGTTACTGCGCCACTCCCCCCAGGCACAGATGCGTCCCTCCGGCACCTCCAAGGCATAGCAGGCACTAGCGCCCCCGCTGCGCAGGCCATGGTGATCGAAGGCCTCCGGGGGCGGCGAAGGAAGGGCGCGCTGCAGCAGAGGAAACCAGCCAGAAACCGTCCGTGCGGAGGGATCCTGCTCACCAGGGAGCATGTAGAAATGGGTGGGGGAGTCGCCCGCGGCCGCCCACGCCTTGTCCTGGGCCGTGGATCAGCGGAGGAAGAGGTCGATGACGGATGGCGCGCCGTCCGAAGGCCAGGAATGGCACCGGATACGCGGGTCCGTAGAAGCCGAAAGCTTGGTCTGGCGTTCCTGGAAAACGAGTAGGCAATTCTCCACGCGGAGGTCGTCAAGGAGAACGAGATGGCCACTCTGCGTCTGGTTGAAGAAAAGGAAATCCAAGGTCGCCGAGCACGCCGTGCGTAGCAGCCGCAGATCGAAGGTCGCCAAGCCCAGGTCCAGGATGCTCCGCAGAAGATCCGTCGGAACTGGCTGATGAGAATGGGCTGGCTCCGGTTCTTGCCGCCTCCAGGCGTGGGTAAGGCGCCGGGTGACGGAGTCGAAGGCGGAGAAGTCCAGATGGCCCATTGCTTGATGGACCATGGAAATGGCAACCAAATACTGCGGGAGGCTGCGAATGCCCACACGCCCCTCCTCCTGCAGAAACCGGATGTAGCGGTAGATCGTCGAAGGCCGCGCGGGAAGGCTGGCCAAGTCGTGCGCCTCGCAGAACGTAGTAAAGTGGGTGAACTTGGTATGCATGGAGCGGCGCGTGGACTCGGTATAAAAAGAAAGGAACTCGGTCTGCATCCAAGACCGATCAAATGCCGACAGGCCGTCCACCTCACAGCCAAACAACGGGTGATCGGCGGGCATCTCCTCCACCGGAAGGGGGTCGGCCACCGGCGATCCCGATCGGGAAGAGGGCGTCATGGCTTCAGAGTCTAATCCCTCCTCCGCGGCCGAATGTGGAAGGCGTGGAGATTCCACCGGGGGGGATGCAGGACAGCCGGAATCGACAGATCGCCCGGGAGGAACATCTCCGGGCGGCGAGGAATGAAGAGCTCCGCCGATGCCATGCG